CCCCTTAGCAGCTTGTTTTTTTGCGCTGTCCATTTTGTTCTGTCGAGAAAGTCAAGTGGTTGATCATGTTTTTTTTTAACTTTCCATTTTTTTTTTAAATTTCGAATTCAATCCCAAATAAAAGTTTTCAGTTGCAAATAAACTTCTCGTTTTCTCATTTATAAAATTATGGATTTGATACATGCTCGAAAGTATGGACCAAGGCTGCACAAAAATGTAAAACTTTTTTCATCACAGGGACATTTTCATAATTGCGAATCTATAAAAGTAATGAAAATGTTAGCGTATGCATCTTCTTAGCACACTTTAAGTTGGAACATCAAATAATATCTATGAACCGAGCATGGTAAAATTTGCAGAAGTAAAAATGCCATTCAATATGGGGAGGGGGGCGTAAAAAAAACAGCATTTGATTTTATCTTTGAAAAATTTAGAAAAAGCAAGTATCGAAACCAAATTTTTCCATCCATACGAAAACAATGGGTCTTGATCTATTACTTAAGAATGTCTAGAGCTGAAATTTGTGCTTTATGACGAAAAAGACTACCCTAGAGACACCATTTATAGCAATAACATGAGGCAAGCCCATTACCAAAGCCCTGGAGTGAACACTATTGTAAGGTATAGACACAGAATTCTGATGCAACAAAAATCATCACGTACTAGTTTACACTAGTTTCTACTTTGGAAAAACAGACTTTCTTTTACAAAAGAACAAGAATTTCAAAAATTAAGAAAAGACAGTCTGCATTTATTGTAAAATTTGTCCTCCATTGTCTTCTGTGTGAGTAACAAGTAGATACAGCAAGAGTTTAGACTGCAACTGCTTTTTTGCATGTCAAAAAATTTGACTTGACTTTCAGTAGTTCATCAACCCTTCTCTGTAATTTCCGTGAAGATTCTAGAATAGAAGCAAACATAAATACAAAACAAAAAGTATCCCCAAGGCTACCATCCTTTGTTGTCATTTCAAGCAAGGTCAGACATACGTGTTACCTTCACAAATAAAGCTGCAATACAGCAACAACCAATATGGATCTAACAATTACATGTGTACAGTAACACTGCTATATCACAAGTGATATCTAGGTATATTAAAACTGTATTCTGATGTCTAAATACCACAGATATTGTGCACTTACAATACTGTCTGTGTGTCTGAAGTCTAGACCAGTATCTGTGACCAAACCCTGGTCACCAAACAAAGACAAAGAGCCTTTCCATACATTACTAGTGTAAATATGTGTACACAAAGGAGACTTTTATTCAGGCATTATTAATGTTTTACGAAGCCATCTGGAGCCAATAGTAGATTCTATAACTGTTTTAATATGACATAATAAAGGATAGAATCCATCCAACTGTCTTAGACCACTGTGGGTAAAGTTGAGAGGTTTTAGATTCTCTTACTGTTAAGCAAAAAGGCAAGCCAGGGCAACTTTGATGATTCAAAATCATCATTTTCTAGCTAAATACACCTTCTAGTTCTACTGACTTGAAGAATCCACCATCAAAATGCACCTAAACAAGTTTTCCTAAAACAAAAATCCCTGTTGAGTCCATGGTGTGAGACCTTGCCTGGTCAAAAATATTCTAGCTTATTCAACTCAATTTACTAAGGATTGGCATTAATTTCAAACTCAAAAGCACCATTTTTATTGCAAAATAAGCCCTCTAGATCTACTGATTTGAAGACTGCACCACTAAAATGTACCAAAACAAGTTGTTCTAAAAGAAGGATCCCTGTTGAGGTTATAGTGTGAGGTAGAGAGATCCTGCTTGGGCAAAAATGTTCTTGCTTCTCCAACTCCAAGCAAGGCATTAAATCAAACTCAAAATCATAATTTTCGAGCAAAATAAACCTTCTAGTTCCACTGAATGTTCAGAATCCACCACTAAAATGTACCTTAACAAATTATCCTAAAAGAAAGATCCCTGTTGAGACTACATAGTGAGGTAGACTAGTAAAGAGGCCTTGCCTAGGCAAAAATGTTCTTGCTTTCCTTACTGAAAGTAAGGCATTAAATTGTTTTGAAATTAGATTCAAAATCATCATTTTTTAGCAACATAAACCCTCTGGATCTACTGAATTGAAGACTGCACCACTAAAATGTACCAAAACAAGCTGTTCTAAAAGAAAAAGGCTGCAGTAGCGGTATATAGACCCAGCCAGGGCCGCCCCTTTTCCATCCAGGCTCCCTCCTGTAAACACCAAGTCCTACGTGACCTCTGCTATATCTGCAATGCGACAATTCAGGGGCCCACAAAGGGAAAATTTTCAACACGCAGGAAAAAGGCCTTTACCGCAAAATTCACAACATTGTCCTCCAATATTTCTGCTGTAAACTTGGTGCCTGTGGCCTAGAGAACACCCTGGTCGGTGTGTTCAAGTTACCGCGGCAGAATTTTGGTGAAATGGCCACAAAAAAGGGGTTTCCATATGGACAATATGGCCTGTGTGTACACACTTGAAGCATATGCTCTGCAAGGGCCCTTTACAAAATATTCTCCCTGTTTTGAAAACACATATTTTGCAGACTACAAATTGTTGACAATGCCTGCTGCCTAGGTGACAAACCATCCAAGGATGGTCTCTAGAAGAGGTCAACAACACAAGCTAAAGTAGAGTAGATATATACCAGCTTTGCAATAGTGCAAAGGCTTTGGCCTCAAGCCAAAACTCTTTTTCCACTTATTTATCCTCTTACACACACTTTTAACGGAATATTCACTGTATAAACACAAGGTTTGAGGCTTCACTGCACATCATGACTACCGTCTGAAACAACTGTACATCCAGGTAAACGCAAAGCTCACAAAGACAAGCTATTCACATCTCTTCATAAAAATACATGAAATACACAACATTACAGACAAAAAAATCATAACAGCTAGATAAGTATCAATAGAACTTGTACTACAAAGTTAGTACACCAGAATGGACCCAGTCCTTGCCTGTTGTCTGTATCCTAGACCAGTCCTGCTGCAACCAAAGTGCCTGGGCTAACCCCTCACTCAGGGCCTCTCTACTAGAACATGATGTCATCGCTAAAACATTCCAAGATGGCTGACTATGTTCAGATATACTCTAGTGCAAAAAGCTGGAAGGAATGGTACAATAATATTACCAATTCTCCTCTGGAAGGAGACCCATAAATGTACCAAATGCTGGCATGTAGGCATCGGGTGGTCTAGGACAGATACAACTCAGAAGAAGACATGGAAAAATCTGATGTGCGTGTGCAGTGTATATGTGACTTGCATCTAATCATTACATAACACACCATGGACTGCAAGTGCACTGAAATGCCTAAACATCTTTTACAAAGTTTCCAACCTACAAAACAATGATGTGGAAATATTTTGGTTCTTCACATCCACAAAGATATGACTTTCCCAAAGTTATAAGTTAACAACAGTGAGCAGTATTTCATCCCAGTTTCCCCATATTGTTTGTAATCTAGGCTCTTTATTTCACTTTTAGGATATTTTCCAACTTATCTATGCATATTAACAGGAAAATATCAACAAATGCTGTCGTGACGCACTATCCAACACAAGTTTCATTTCAAGGACACTTTTCAATTGAACAGTCTGGTCAGTATGATGCCTTGATATAATAGTACCTCGATGGTAGCTTTTCATGATGTATTGTAAGAAGTAACATGACTTATTTTCTCACTAGCTGACATAGGAGACACAAAAAGAGTAAAATAATGGGCCAAAAACATCCCTGTAAAGTCCAAGATACACTGTATAGACCTTGCCTGCTAGAAAAGCTATGTAGTATTGCTAAGAGAACAGTGTACAACGTACTGAAAATTCCTTGCTAAGAAGATACAATATCGTAGTAATATACTCTGATCTTCAATTCCCTAAAAACAACTTAAAGAAACACTGAAAGTTCAAGGTCAGCATATTGTTTTCAACACCTATTGATACACAGCAATGACCCCTGACTTTAAACCTCTGGCACAATGTTGTACAAGAATACTGTGGCATTCGTAGTTGAAGAAGGGTTTTTCATTGCAAATGCTGCAATGTTGACTTCGCATCTCAATAAATCGAGAGTCATTCTCACTAAAAATTGTTGAAAAGCAAAACCCAAGTTTCTGCCTGTATGACTATTAGTATTAGACATGTGCCTGTCACCTAGACCAGTGTCTTTCAGAGCAAGAACAGACATGGAATACTTTCCGAATCGGCCAAAACCTTGTCATGATGTAGCCACCAGATCTTCATCAAGTCGCCATTTTCAGTACAATCTGCATGACTTACTTGCATCTGTATGTCTGACTAATATATTGACAATCAGAAAAGTGACAAAGACTGACAAAAAGGGCAGTCTTGCCTGTATTGTAGAGTTTACGAAAGTCTGTTCATGCATGCTTTATTTAAGCTGAAAAGTGTCTTCAAATAAACCCATCTCAGTAATACTTCATGCAAAGATATTTTCTCAACTTGAAGTCATAAATGACAGCATTATCTATATGTGGGTGTGTAGGTGGGTGTGTTCTTTCCATAGGGTGGGAGGGGGGCAACAACATGTGTGAGGGGTAAATGCATAGAAAAAAGTTCTATTCACGCAGAAAACAGCACCACAAGATGCTTCTTTGTGTGGTATCACAAATCCCTATAGTACATATGCACGGGAATGATAGTATTGTCTGTAGTTGGTCTGTATCTTGGGCATAAAATACTACAAATAGGGCCTGTAAAGTTTCAGAAACATGCCAGAAACAACCTAACAACAGACATATGTTCCAGTTTACTTGTTCAATTCCTAGCCTAACTCACTACCATATGCGACAACTGAGGATAAAATTCGCCTTATTTAAGCTTTACTTTTTCCACGTAAAGTGGCTGTATGTTTCGTGTACAACAGTCACTACATTCCCGGCAAAGTGTATGGACTGGTCGCTAGTTTTTACCCGGTAAAAAACCGGCAAAGACGGCTAAAAAGGCACAGGTTTTGGCGGGGAAAAGGTGGGAGGAAATACCTTGAGTCCCCACTCTCTGCCGACGACGGCTGTTCCCTGGAATTGTCGCCGTTTTCCAGCGCGTAAGAGGCGGTGTTCTGGGGTCGGGACGGCTTGGTGGACCCGGTGTCGGGGCCCTGGAAAGTCGTCGAAATGTCGGAACCGAGAAAGTTGCTGTCGAACTCGGCTTCTGGTAGGCCCTCGACTGTGGTGAGGGACGGTGACGCAGTCGGAATTAGAGGCTGGGAATGCCCGCCGACTCGCTGGACGCCGCCTCCGTAAGAAAAAGAACCAAACTGCGGAAAAAATAGAGGGTTTTCGGTAAGGTAATTGTCGGGAAAACCTGCATCCTATCCGTCGGAACACATGAAGCTTTACCGCCGCAAGAACACTGCCACATGTGCTGAAAATAACTACAAAAATGCCAACTATTTGTCCGAGAATCCGAGAAAAACAAGCACGTGGGGGTCTTCCGAACGCTTTGCAACTGCTTGCTGTACACAAAAATGCAATTTGAGCGAGGAAAACCGGGTATAAAAGGGGGAGTTCCAGACCTGTTCCATCACTTTGCAGAGAGGCGATGTCGGTCGCCCCTCATGTGAGCCAGTAGAGGTCGACTCTGCGTGCGAAGAATCGAGAATTTCCGGCGGCCTGTTGATCCTAAACCTGCAAACGGGGTACAAAACAACCGTCAGTGAAACGAGGAAGCAACAGCGAACGATTTTAGACCGCGCGAAGCCACCAAAACGTCCTTTTCCGGATATTTTTCCTCACAACGACCCGTGCAGACAAGATGTCGTTTGGGCCCAGAGCACCCGAAACAACAAAAAATTCACCGCGCATTTTCCCCCCTTTCTCGCCAACTAGACCCGATTCATCGGCACAAAAACGTTTTCCTACAACTCTAAGTCCCTTTCTTTCGATACAAGGACGCATGGGTTCACAGCAATCTCGTGTGCTCGATAATTTCGATAAAAATTGTACCCACTCGGATATTTTGCCCGCGTTCGGTCGCCATATTTGCTTCTTCCTCCCACAGTGTCCGCGCGCGGGGGGTTGTGGGTAGAGTTAATTGATCCTCACCTGATACTAGTCAGGTGTGAATTTTAACTTACAGGTGTGCGGATTTCAGGTGATTTCTGAAAAATAACAGACAACTCAAACATTTCAAACGTGTTCTACAAACGATTTTAATGGGCACATCAAAGTATGAGTTACTGCGAAATCAAATAGGGCTGTAAAACTAATTTAAAAGGCAGCAGAAACTAAAATACAGACAAAAAGTTTGCCTTAAATCACACTTGCTTTATTCATATTGATTTAAGGGTGAATCTAAAATTCTTTAAGTCCTAGACTGGCGCACGCATCGACCTATTTCCTGTAGGAATTGTTCTAAGCATTGATTTGTTGTTGGTTGAATAATTAATGTGATGATACCCGCTAACATTGGCTGACGTTGGCAATCATTTTTCTGCAGTTTAGCTCTTTTTCGCTAGGGGCGCAAGTGTCAGCGTCGTAGCAATGTATAAATTTGTTGTGCAGCATTTGGCTTAGTTTTAGTAACACAATTAATGTAATTGATGTCGAGATGAATATTATGTAAAATGTTGGTGAGTAAAGATGTTTTATTTCTGAAATTATGATCCATAGCATAGCACGTTGGGTTTATACTCCTTAGCGCGCTTCCCTCTCCCAACAAATGTCACCGTAGTGTAGTGGTTATCACGTGCGCCTCACACGCGCAAGGTCCCCGGTTCGATCCCGGGCGGTGACAAAATATTTTAATCAAATTGAACAATTTCTTTTTACGCGATCATCGAAATTTTACGAGGTACTACCGTATATAGTTTATTTTTGACGCGTTTTTAGGTGTTTTTATCGGGTTTTCTTTTTTGTACTGGTATTTTTTGGGGGTGACAAATAGATATCGCCCTGCCAGGATCTGTTTGGAGATTACTACAATATCAGTATTGCGCGAACTTTAAGCAATATTTAACAAAAAAGAAACAGTTCAATTTACCTATGCATGTTTTTAAGCCAAGGTTTCAATTGATCGCTAATCCTTCTCACGGTGGCATTGTGATGTTTGTTAGCCTCAATACACATGACGAAGTATCAGTATCCGCCTCTTTTCCCAAGATGTTGACTCGAAATGGTAAAAATTTATCTGATTCTTTATATCTTTAGATCTTTCATCCTCCTCCATTCATGCAACTCCTCCAATCATACAAAGCGACAAAAATGTAAGTGTATGTACCAAATGTCTTTATGTAGTATGTGTAAGTAAAATCAATAAGTTTTCATTCATTCATTCGTTCGTTCATTCATCTATTTTATCACCTGCCTTTGCTACGAAAAAGTACTAGTAATCTCCAGTCAGATCTGTTGGTGGCAAATACAGTATCACATTGTCATTGTCCAATTTGAGCCACCAAAACTTCTGCTTGGAGATTACACCTTTGCTTCAAGCCGCAGACCATTTCTAAAATTTTAGTGAAGGATATTAAGTGCCAGTAGGAGATATACGTGTTCTCTTTGTCGTAAAGAAAATGAATCTTACATCCTCGCTCCTTGTACAACATTTTACTAAAGATACGAGAGGTGTAAATTTATATCATGTCGTGATGTCTATGTGTATAAGGTGTATATTCATTCATTCACTCATCCCTATACTGAGTACTAGTACTAGTATCTTCAGATGAGACAAAGTTTCTTAAAGTGTTGCTATAAAGAGTGCCAGTAAGGGATATACGTGTTCTCTTTGTCGTAAAGAAAATAACACGACGGCATCAAGGCTACCGACAGGAAGCGTCGGTTACGTCTCACACTCGCCAACAAAAAGCGTCCCCGTGAGATAATTATCCAATCAATTAGGCAAAGCCGTCCGTGGGCGAGCGACAATTAACACCCGATTGAAGCGAGGGACGATGGTGTACGTTGAATACGATGGAAGACGAAACGAATTTGTCTCAAATTGTACCCTCTATAGCAATGGACGAAATAAACTCTTTGACGTAGCCTCCAAATTCTACCCAAACTTTCACACATACACAAAGGAAAAGAAAACTACTCTCTTTGAAAAGTAACATCCGAAAACCCACAAATTACAGAAAAAGTGGGATCCTTTGTCTTCCTCTGTCTTCAAAAAAGAAGTCAAACCCAGTATTTTTTACTAGTAGTTTCTTAGTAGTTATCAGTAGTTCTATGTGTACTAATTGTCAGTTTTTATACCATATGTTTCTTCTGTTCGGGCATGAATTTGCAATAAAACAAGTAATTGACGGTCGGGAGAAAGGGACGATGGCGGATCATTGTGGGACGGTGGTGTTTCATTATCACTTGTTTTTATATGAAAACATGTTAACAGAGAGCTGTGAAAACACCTCACGGAGCACACATATGTCAGAGCGTATGGAAACTGAGTGACACACGGACACAAAGAACACCACCGCAGCCGGACGTTTCAGTGTGCTTGCGTGCATCGATAGAGAGAGATTCTTCCAAGCTTTGCGGCCGCGTATTTCATTGGAAGACTTGAAAAAGTCACAGTTGCTGCTGAGAGTTACTAGTACTCTACAAGCAGAGGCTTAGGCTTCAACTTGTATTTTTGACGTCGTTTTAGGCGTTTTTTATCCGGCTTTCTTCTTTGTACCGGTACATTTTTTCGCTAGCCAAACTGTTTTGGATACTGCCTTGCCAATTTGACACTGACTTGTACCAAGGAGCTTATAAACTCCTTGCTTGTACTAGTTGTAGTCTCCAAAGGATCTGCTTGGAGATATACTTGGGTGCATCGATAGAGTCTTTTCCAAGCTTTGCGGGCGTGTATTCTCCTGGGGAAGTCGCAGTTGTTGCCGAGCTGAGAGCGTGTTCAGTGTATTCTACAAGCAGAACGCTTTCGGTGGCAAGACAATATCCATTAGCCAGAGAAGGTCGCCGGCCACCGACAGGACGCCATGGCCGTCCCTCAGAACGCTTGGACCGCGCCGCTCACCACCTTAACGCCGGGCCCACGCGCCGGTGACGCCCGCCCGGGGTCGGGAGAGGGGAGTACCGAGAGCGTCGCGTCTCTGTCGCCGGAGCCCGAGTCCAACTCCGCCGACGACCTGGCTGAGACGCCCGACAGCACCACGTCAGACACGTCTTCCTCGGCTTCTGAGGAAAAAGGAGAGGTGAGAGTTTTATACATGTAGTTTACGTTTTCAAAAGTCTCGATAATCCTAAAGAATACAGTAGGGCATATAGCTACCCTGGATGCCAAACTCGTTCTTCGGGCGGCAAGAGCCTTTCGCCCGCCGGTCTAAATTACTGCTACGGGGGAGTCTAGCCCGGGGGGAGTTTGGCCGCCTTCCAAGGCCGATATACTCCTCTGCGGGCGAAGTACCCTGGCTGCCGAAAAAAACGGTTAGCGTAATCTCCAAGCAGATCATACGGTGGCAAGGCAGTATCCA